TGGGTACCAAGGTGGCCAATGTGGCTTCTCACAGCCCCAGATCAGGACAGGCTGAGAGAGGAGCTGCATGTCCCTGTTCAGGGGCAGAAGTGTATGTCCATATTTAGAGACAGGAGCTGTGTCCATTTTTAGGGACAGGAGCTGTTTGTCCCTGTTTAGGGACAGGATCTGTGTGTCTGTGTTCACGGGCAGGAGTCATGTGTCCATGTTCAGAGGCAAGAGCTGTGTATCCACGCTCAGGAGCAGGACTCATGTCTGTGTTCAGGCTGATGCCAGGGAGGGCACAGGCTCTGCTCTACACCACAGGACTGTGCCAGGGCAGCAGCACAGCAGGATTGTCTCTGCGTGACGTGGCCCCAAGCGGCAGGGTGACCACAGCAGTTGTATGGCAGTACTCTGAGGACCCTGCCACAGGCAGCCAGTAGCACTCACACCGTGGAGCCAAGGCAGTGGCTGCAGCAGGGGCTGTGTGAGTGCCACAGGGCAGGAGCCAGGGATGCAGACTTGTGCCATGAGCACATCCACAGTGTGTAGCCTCAGGCTGGAAACCAGCTGTGCCCCAGCACTTCTCAGAGAGCCTGCAGAGCCAGGACAAGCCCCACGGGGCACAATTCACAAACAAAGTCCCACGGGCCCTCTCCCAGCCCCAGCTGAGGTGGCACAACTTCCTGGGGGTCTGTAAGTGGGCAGCAGCAGGGCATGGGGCAGCACTGCCCAACCCTGAGGCAGTTGGGACCACATGCTGGGCACACACAGAGGTGCTTTCACAAAAGATGGCCAGAGCAGAGATTCTGCCATTGGACTGCATCTTTGTGTGTCCAGTCAGCCCTGCCTCTGGGACAGGGTGTGACACAGGTGTGGCACAGTGTCCCAGCTCCCTTGGCCTGTTCTCACCAAAGTACGGCACCAGCACACTCCACTACAACACCTGCACCCTGTGCCCATTCACGGGTATCTGCCTTGCCAGTGGGTGCAGACAGGCACAACACTGGGCCTCACAAAGCCCTGCGGAGATCTATCCAGCCTGGCAGGTGAGGACACTGCACGAGCTGGCATGCTGTGCCAGGTCCAGCATAGGTGGCAAGTGGGACCCCTCAACGTGGGAAGGGTTTTACAGCCCTGGTGAGCTGGGGGTCATCAGCTCTGCAGCCTCGTGAAGAACATCACAGCATCCAGTGAGCAGCAGCCCAGCAGAGCGTGGTGACAGTCTCTCTCCCCCCTCCCCATCCCCAGTTCCAATATGCCCTTGGTAAGTTCTTTCAGATCTTGGTCATTTTCCCTTGGTACTGAAGCTGCACCTACCAGGAGTTTGCACTGTGCTGCTGAGGCCATCCTGACCAGACTTGCTACTGAATCTCCTCTGCAACTGCATCCAGAACTCTGTGAGCCGCTCTAGACCAGTCTGCAAAGGAATTGGGGAGTGGTCAGGGGGAACTTGTGGCCCTTCCCAGGTGCCAGCCAGCAAGAGATTATTTCTCTCCTGCCCCTGTGCAGCTACTAGGGAGCTGCTCTGTGAGTCATCATCAGGTCAGTCAAGCACCTGAGCTAGTCCTGGAGCTCCTGTCTAATGTAGAGCACCAGCTTGGTCGTGGGCCATCACATCTTCATACAAGTCCCTTGTCAGGGAATGCTGAGAACCAGCTTTGTTGCACTTAATGAATAAACACCCTGTGGGATGCTGTCTCTGCTCCATTCCCAGTTCAAGAACTACTGTCCATGTAAATGGCTTGGCAGGTCTGGGTAGGAAGGTTTTCCTTGTAAGCACTGAAATTGCCTTCCTGAGGATGAAATAAGTCTTGTTTGTATGAATGTGTGTAGAAACATATATAGAAGTAAATGCATGTCCATGGATATACACATCTCTATGTGTCTGCATCTGTATCTACCTTTTACTCTGTGTGGGTGGGTGGGTGGCTGGGTGTGTACACATGCACATACATGTTCACCAGTGTGTGTGTTTGGGTACCCACATGACAGTTCCTATCAGAACCCCATCAGTTCCTATCCCAGGATGTAGGAAACAGGAAGAAGCTGGTAGATGTGAAATTCCAAATAGATACAGGGGTAAAACCATACTAGGATGGTGGTTGGACACTGGCACAGGGGCCCAAAGAGGAGGGATTGCCCATCCCTGAAGATACTGGAAGTCAGATGGACAAGTTCCTCTAATGAGGACCAGCTTTGAGCAGGTGTTGGAGCAGAGAACTCCCGAAGTCCCACCCACCTGCGCCTCAGTCACCCAGGGTCTCTCTTTACTGTCCAGTTTTATATCGTGGCCCTCTTCCTCCCACCCACCCCTGACACAACACGCTGAGCTCCAGCTCATGGGGGCCCTGCAGCTCTCCCATTTGTGGAGGGGCTGCGGCTGCTCAGTGCAGGGAGTGCAGAGCAATCAGTGGGGTGTGCAGTGCCATGCACCGCTCTCAGCCACGTGTGCACTGCAGGCAGGGCCATGCCCCGTGCTCACTGTGCAGGGCGAGCAGTGCTGTGCACCACACTCACTGTGCCTTGCTCTCCGCTGTGCAGGAGGCGCCAGAGCCGTCGCAATGCTCAAGGTTCACGGGGAGCTCTGCTCTGCTCTGCTCTGCGTGGTACCAGGAGTGCTCTGCTGCTCTGCAGCTCTCTCCAGCAGCGCTGCTGACAGCATGAGTCTGTCACCTACAGCAGCACCAGACCAAGCAGCACCTCTGCAGCACTTGTGGGGATTTTAACATAGCTGTTGGTAGGGTTGTGGTGTTTACGGGCTCTGGGACTGGTCTAATGCAACAACAAAAAAAAGCCAAAACCCAAATGACTTCCGTGCAGCTGAAAGCTCCAGGTCTTGGATCCGTCTCAGTGGCAGCTGATAGATGAGTGTGCAGAGGAGCAGGGATGCTCTGTATATGGCATTCAGGTGGGCAATGGCCTGCACGATGTGGGGGGGTGGGTTAAGGACACAATATACTGTTGCTGTCAGTGGGGCAGGACTTATCAAACTAGTGTCATCCAGAACTGCCCAGTGAGAGTAAGAGAGTTCTTCAACCCTAAAATAAAACTTAACTCCTTTCTTTGTCACTGCCCTGGCCCTGGAGCTGTGGACGCTTTCTAGAGTGTTGTGATTAACATGCACTGCTGTGCCATGCTTGGCTGCAGTGACACAGACCCCTCATGTGGACACATTTGTAGTGGCAGAGCCCTGCTTGTAGCTACAGAATGGCTTTACTCTCCCTTCCCATCCCACCTGGCCAGAGGTGTGTGCACCAGTTCATGTGCAGGAGCTCCTGGAGTCACTGCAAATGGCCATGTCCCATTTGCAGTTGTGTAGCACAGGTAAGTTCAGTCTCTGTCTCAGACCAACCCTCACGCGGGGAGGGAGAAGTGAGAAATACCTGAGCTGTGGTTCTCAGGTGCAGGCAGCTCTATCCCAGCATGTAGAAAAGGGAGCTGACAGTTTTTCTGAGGGCAAGGCAGTAGGGGCTGCCAGTGGACATATACCTCCTCTGATGCAGACCAAATGCCAGCAGGTGTTGGAACCTGAGCAGGCCAAGCCCATGCTGGGGATGCTGTAAGCAACACCAGGCCAGGCAGTTCCAGGTTGGTGGTGCAGGGACAGAGGTAGAAGGTGTCCTGTGGTGGAAGCCAGTTGTGCTCAAAACCGTCTTGGGACCTGCAACAGACATCTCTGTGGAAAGAGGCACCCACCAAGGACATCCAGGAGCATGGTTTTGTCCGAACAGTTGCTCTGCTCTGAGCTGCCCCCACAGAGGCCAGCTGGAGCCAGTGGCCGACAGACAGGGACAGCCACCCCTAATGCTCTGAGGTACCAGGCTGCTGCAGGAGGAGTCAGCTGTGCAGGCTGAGCACAGGCTCCAGGTGAAGAGAATGTACCTGCCAAAGAGGGAAGGGACATGTGGAGGGAGCACTTCCTCCCCCCGGTAGAACAGAGGTGGCCCAACCCTTGCTGTGGCATCCGGGAGGGCACCCAGGAAGATGAAGTCGGCTCTGGCTCTCTGAGATGTTTCCTGTTCTCCCAGGCTGTGCCTCCCAGGGAAGGTGACAATGGCTAGCTGGACCCTGTGTGACCTAAACTCCCCAACAAACCCCGGAGCAATTGGCGCCCCAGCAGCACCTTGGAGAGAGCCTTTTGCCTGTCCAGGAACATTTGGTGGGATTGCAATGGGTGTTGCTATCACAGCACAGGTGCAGGAGCTCCTTTGCCCAGTGGACTCGCTGATGTTCATCAAACCAGGGCAAAGACTCCCACGGCTGGACACCCGGGGAGTGGTGGAACCACACGGTCCTTGTGCTGTTGACTCGATGTGCAGCTGTGCCCCGTGTCACAGGGTTGTGGGGTCGGGCTCAGTGTCTGAGATGGCTGGTAGCAGAAGCAACACCTCACGTGATAGCTCTCAAGAACAGAGAATTCCACCCTGGCTGGTCTGGATGTGTGAGCCCCTTTCATTGTTGCTCCCGTCCCTGGGCCTGGGCACCAGGGAGGCAGCTTTCCCAGATCAGGGTAGGAGCTGCAGCCGTGTTGGGGCACTGCACACCTCCCCCCACCCAGTCTCGGCCCCAGCCCCGGCCCAGTCTCGGCACAAGCCCCGGCCGCTGCCCCGCCGGCGGGAGAGCGGACCTAGAGATGCTCCCGGGTGCTTTCCGGCCCCTCCCCTCCCCTTCCCTCTCCTGTGTCTCGGTACTGGCACTGCACCGGGTGCGATGGAGCCCGCAAGGCCATTGCTGCCTCCCTCAGAGCCGCCGGCTCTGTGGGTCTCGGTACTGACACTGGCCGAGGGACGGGTGAGCCCCGAAGCCTCGCACCCTCCCCGGCCGCTCGCCCTCTCAGGCCTCCGCAACCGCCCCTCGGGGTCGACCTGCTGCTCGTGCTCCTGCCCCTGCCACTGTTCCTTTCCCTGCCTATGTCCCCGTTCTCATCCCTCTCCCTTCTCCGCCTCCCTTCTCTGCCCCAGTGGGACCGGGGCCGCGGGCCCCCATCCCTGCAGCGAGGAAGAACGTGGCCTCGCTCCATACAAAATAATTTATTGAAATCACAGCTATACATGGGCGAGAGCCCAAGGCAGCGCGGCCCCGGCCCGGCTCGGCCCAGCCCGGCCTGGCTCAGCCCGGCGCGGCGGGTGGAGGGGTCCGGCGGCGGGGCGGCCGCACTCCCCGTGGCACGGACAGAGGGACACGCTGCCGTATGTACAGAGTTTACACGGAATAAATAAGGGACATGTACAGAGGAGTGGGAGCGGGCGCCCGGGCCCCCCCGCCGCCCGCCCCAGGGTCCGGGAGCCCCATTGGGCTCAAGGCCGGGCGCCCTGCTCGATCTGCTGGTGCTGGCTGCGCACGGCGAAACGGTTGACGTGCACCGGGATGGGCACCACGATCTTGGGGTTGCGGACGGGCTCTCCCGAGCGGTTGCTGACGTTGCCGGCCTTGATGCGTTTCCATTTGGCGCGGCGGTTCTGGAACCAGATCTTCACCTGCACCTCGCTCAGCTTCAGGGCGTGCGCGATCTGTGAGCGCTCCGTCAGGCTCAGGTACTTCTTGCAGTGGAATTCTTTCTCCAGCTCCAGCAGCTGCTCACTGGTGAAGGCCGTGCGGCGCCGGCGGCTCTTCCCGGCCCCGGAGCCCGGCGGGGGCTGCTCGGCGGCGGGGCCGCCCTTGCCCTTGCCCTTGGCGCCCAGCGCGGTGCCGGCGGCCGCCCCGTCCAGGAAGGGCTCCTCCTCGCTCTCGCCCGCCGAGCTCTCCTCCTCCCGCTCGCTGCACGGCGTCGCCGCCGACTTCACCTCCAGCTTCTCCTCGTCCGAGCTGTACGCCTTCCCGTCTGCGGGACACACAGCGTCAGCGCCCGCCGGCGCGGCCCCCGCCCCACCCCGCCCCGTCCCTCCGCGCCCAGAGCCCCCCACAGTCCTCCTCCCGCTCCCTCGGCGGGCGGCTGAAGCTCCTCCCGCAGCCCTGGACCCCGCCACCACCGCGTCCCGCAGCCCCGGGGTGGCCGAAGCAGTGGTCCCAGCCCCAGCAGCAGCCCCGCACTGGACTCTGTCGCAGCCAGCGCCAGCCGCTCCAGTCCAGGACCCCAATGCCCTGCTCCCCGCAGCCTGCCCGGCTCCGAGGGGCACCATCCACAGACCCGGCGGGCACCCTGAGGTCTGACCTCCGCAGCAGCTGTCCCATCTCCATCCCACAGCCCAGCCATAGCACCATCACGGTCTTGGTCCAGCAGAGCACATCACAACCCTTCAAGGGCTTGTCCAGACCTCCACATTGGAAAGAACGTCTGTACCTTGCCCCTCAGGTCAGCCCTCCCTGTCCCTTCTCACTGCACCAGACCGCTGATGCTGTTCAGCAAGAAGCCAGGCAAGAGGAGCTAAAGGACTGTCCAGAGCACCCAGAGCCAACAAACTTCCTTGCTCTACAGGACATGGGGTGTCCCACTGCTGGCTCTCCCTCCCTAATACCAGGACCCACCAGTGGCTCCCTGTACAGCCAGGGAACAAGGGGCTGAGAAAGCTGATGCTCAGGGCTCCGTTGCCCCCAGCAATGTGCAGAGGGGCAGGACAGAGCCTGTCAACATCACACAAGAGACAGCACCTCATCCCAGGTCACTGGACAGGATGCAGTGCTTAGACCACTGCAGACACCTCTCCTATGCTGCCTGCAAGGATATTGAATCTCCTCCTTGCAAGCTTCTTCTGTCCCGAACTGCTGACTGAATGATTAAACAGCCATGGAGCAGGGGAGGACACAGTGGGAGATGAGGGAGGAAGGAAGCCTGGAAGGTGGTCACTTCCATGGCAGAAGGGCTCAAACGTAGTGAAAAGATGTTCCCAGTCACAGACTCGGGTCATGAAGGGAGGACCCACAGCTATGCACAAAGAGGTGAGGAAGCTTTTCTGTCATGCTGAGACTAGAGGAGACCAGAAAATTCTTCAAGTCTGACCCAAGAGCATGAATCACCGCCAGAAGGAGCCAGTCCTGAAGCACTCCCACTCAATATAAGCCAACATGCAGAAGAAGAAGCAGCAGCTCTTCAAACTTCTAAGCAGTGTCCAGGTACTGGCACATGCAACCCAGGCGCTGAACCTCTGGCCACTTCACCTCATCTCAGTGGGAAAGGCAGAACAGCCTTCAGAAGCCTGACAGTGTAGGGTTCAAATACACAAACATCTACTGCAAGAGACTACTTGAGCCCTGAAGACATTGCTGGGAGTCTGGTGACTGTGTGAGAGCCCCCATTTCCCTTGTCAGTCCTGCAGCAAGTCTGTGGCTTCCTGAGAGCAGGTGGCTAGTTTTGGAAATCTGGATGCATCTCCCTGTTCCTACTGCATCGTATAGTGGGAAGAACACCTTGATCTCTGTCCTGCTGCAGAAGGACAGACAGTGACCTCTTTCTTCCTGAGGGTTGGGGATGGGGATGAAGAGACCTCCCATATGCATAGTGGATAAAGACCCAGAGAATTTGTGCTGGCCAGGCTGAGGATTAGGAGTAGGTGGCAAAGGAGCATTTTGGCTGCAAGCACTTTGCTGAAGAAAAGGAGAGCTTTCACTTCTATGTACCATCTCTGTCCCGTGGAGCACAGGGCCTGACAAGGTAAGAGAGCTCTTATGAGGAAATCAGTGTCTTCCCCAAGAGCTCTCATAGGTCCTGCCCTGGCACTGCAATTCCCCAGGGATGGAGGATGGCACCCCAGCAGCCACACCAGCAAACAGTGCTGATGAGGCAGGCTGCTCCTGTCAGCTCAGGCTGTGTCCCAGGAGACTGGGAGAAAGCTGAGCTACCACTGCAACATAATAATTTGTAAAACAGGTGTTATGCCTGGCTACTCTCTTCTTAACCAGACCCCAAATTTTGAACAGTCTCTAGCACTCTCACATTTGTGTCACATAAAAGGGCTGGGTTTGCAGTAAGGAACTTGGAACTATTTGATGACAGAGTCTAAAACAGATGCTTTCACAAAGAAAATTGGTATATTGATTTGTTAGTCACCTACTATGTCCCTGGTGAGGAAGGAATGGAGGCAGAGGATCCCACACATAGTTTAGGAGGTGTATACTGAAACTTTCAAGGCCTTTGAACAGGAAATGAAATTGTCATGAAGCAAAGCATCGTGACTGAAAAATCAACGAGAAGTAGTAGATGAAGAATAGAGTTGCCCTCTGGTTTGCTCTTCACAAAGTCCCAGCTGTTTGTTGATCCTGGGAAAGACATTGAAGAGGGTCCAAAGGAGTTCTGAGGGCTGGAGCACCTCTGTTGTGAGGACAGGCTGAGAGAGTTGGGGTTGTTCTCTCTGGAGGAGAGAAGGTTTCAGGGAGACCTTATTGCAGCCTTTTGGTACTTAAAGGGGACTTATAAGAAAGACATAGAGAGGTTTTTAACAGGTCCTGTTGCAATAGGACAAGGGTTTTGATGGTTTTGCACTCAAAGAGGGTTGATTTAGATGAGATATAAAGAAGAAATATTTCACAGTGAGTGTGGTGAAACACTGGCCCAGGTTGCCCAGACAAGTGGCGGATGCCACATCCTCAGCAACATTCAAGGCCAGGTGAGACAAGGCTCTGAGCAGCCTGATCTAGTTGAAGATTTCCCTGCCCATGGCCTTTAAAGGCCCCTGCCAACACAAACCATTCTGTGGTGCTGTGATTATGGATGTGGAAAGCATGGTGAGGAGAGGTGGGTGTCACAGGTGACAAAGCTGTTCAAACAGGATCAGGGAAACCTGGATCAGGAATCGGTGTTGTGACAGCCAGAAGAGACCTGTGTTGGTAAGCACAAAAGGAAACAACAGAAACTTCTCCTGCCCCCAACTGAATGTGCGGTCCCTACATCAACCCAAGAAAGGGTCTCAGACCACTGCCTGGGTCTCAGAAGAGACCTGCACAGCTCAGGAACAAGCCTGCTCTCAGGAGAGCTGTGGAGAGCTGGGTGTTGAGTACCCTTATCCCAGGGGTCATGCTCTTTGTTGCAGCTGTAGTAACAAACCAGACTCCAAGCTTTGCTGCTTCTCACCACCAGTTTCCCTACATATCTCTGCCCACTCAAGAAGGGTGGCAACAACTGGAGGCAAGTTTGAAACCTAGGGGATGCAGAGAGAGGCCCTAAAGTAGGGCATTGACCTCTTTGGTTGATCTGGCAAGCAACTAATCTAGTGTTCATAGACACCTGCAGGATGAAGATACGTTAGTAGCCCAGGGACAGAAACAGTCACTTCAGGGTAGAAGTCAGTTGATGACAGTGAAACAGACCAAAGGAGGCATTTATTCTTCTCATGGTTCCTCTACAGATAAGAGATCTGTGGAACACCTTGCCCTGGGATGTGGCTAATGCCAGGGTTATCCTGCCTTTCTGGTGGACTCCAGGGAAGATTAAATAAAGTCACAGAAGACAAACTGGTCAAAGTTTACTAAATATACAGAAACAACACCTGTCTCAAGAAGTCCCTAATGTGCAGATGGTTGGATATGAGGGAAGCGTCATTTTAGAGGGAAGCGTCATTTTAGAATTGAGCATTGCACAGATTGTGTTCTCTTGCTCTTCCCTGGACAATTGCTTTTGGTCAGGGCCACAGACAGGATGTGAGCAAAAACTGCATTATAGATGGTTTTTGATGACTCGTTTTGACACAAATCATCTTTCTCTTCCCTAATACTGGAAAAATACAGCAATCCTCCTGGGTTTCACCTGAGATGGTTAGTAAAACAAACTCCACTGTCCATCTCTGGTACAGCCAGGAGAAATATTAGGTATAGGAGAAGGCGGCCACATTTGGCCAGAAAAACCCTCTTGGATCTGAGCAGAACAGCCCTCGGAGTTGGATCTACAATGGGCACATGCCTACGCAGAAAGACAAGCATCCTTCATGGCTCCGGAGCAAGCACAGTGCTCAGAGGCAGCAGGGAATGAACAATGGTAACAAGACATCTTCCTTTCCATGTGAGCCAGTTGCAACCAAAGAAGTCTTAGAGGTAGGATTTCTTGGATTCAGAAGTGGCCACTCTCTGGGACAGTTTGTCTGAGTCTCTTGGGAGGAGGAACATCTTGGGCTCAGGTACAGAGAAGCCATGGAGGGAGATCAAGCACAATGCAGTTCATCTGCCCACAGACTGGGAAGATGAGGTCGTATGGACAGGTTGTTTTGGCCAGGGCAGCACTGCCCTCGAGGAAACTTTCACAATAAAAATGAGATCGCATTGGGTTTTTGATGCAGCACAGAGGCTGGGGAGCACCAGATGTGCACCAGTGCCCTAATAACCCACAAAGGCAACAGGGAGGCAGAATGCCCCCATTGTCCTATGTGAGGGGTGAGGTTCAAGGAGTACCTGCGTGAGGAAAATGCTCTTCTGAGGGAGGAACCAGGCAGGGCAAGGGAGATACCTGGGAGATACCAGGAGAAGTTAAAAGGAGGATGGAGAGCAAACAGCCAAGCAGTGCGAGAAGCAGCAGAGACTTTGCAGCATGCAACCACACCAAGAAGCCTGGGAGACAAAGGTGGATCTCAGGAGTGGTCGGGGAGAGCTCAGGACAAGCCGCGCCGGAGAAGTAGGGTCTCGCCGCAGGGACCCCTCATGCCCCATGCTGGAGGAGCCGAGGGGGAAGAGCCGAGCGCTTGACCCGTCTGAGAAATACGGAGCAACAAGTCCCCGAGGCCGGTGGAGGCGCACTCGGGGAGCGGCCGCAGCGCACAAAGGCGAGGACCTCGATGGGAGCTGCCCTCGGCTGCAGCGGGGGGTCCCGGGAGCAGCGCTGCAGCCTGCCCGTGACGTCGGGCTGAGCCTGTGCCGACGCGGGACGCGGCGGGCACAGCGGTGGGCACAGCAGCGGACACGGCGGCCGGAACGGAGGGGACCTGCCCCGCCACCGCTCCCGTGGGGCGGGCTCGGGGGGGACTCGGAGCGCCGGTAGCCGCAGCACGGCAACGGCGGGAGGCACCGGCCCCGAACGCGGCATCGTGCTGGGGGCAAGGGGCAGCCCTGCGCCGGGCCGAGCGGGACCGAGTCCCGAACGGGGATCGGGACCAGGATCGGGACGGGCGGGAAGGGCTGCGGGCCGGGCCGTGCGGCGCCCCGTCGCCTTCCGCCTCGCTCGCCCCGGGCCGGGTGCCAGGACCTCGGAGAGCTCCGCGTCGCCGGCCCGGCCGCGGCTCCGGGCCGCGCCACGCTGGTCCTGCCAGGCGGCCCATGGCCCGCCGTGGCGGTCCCCCGACCGGTCGCGCTCCCTCCGCTCCTGCCGCATCGCCCGGCCGAGGCGAGCGGAGTCCGCAAAAGCTGCGGGCGCTGCGGAGCCGGCCCGGGACGGCAGGGAACCGGTCCTCTCGTCTCGGCCCGACGGGAAGGACAGGGAGCGCGGCAGCGGGCAGGTCCAGCCGCCGCGGCCGTGGCGACCCCGCCGTCCTGCCCGGTGCTCCCCGGCCCCCAGCGCCTGCGGCTCCGCGGCTCCCGTCCTGGCGAGCTCGGGGCCCGCGGGGCCACCCATCCCCAGCAGCCGCCGTCGCTGCGGGGAGAGCCCGGTCAGGGTCCCCTCGGGGCTGCGAGGGTCTGGGCGAGGCAGGCTGGCTGCTCTGTGCCAGGCGGGGCGGGCCCGCGCCACTCTTACCTGCCAGGCCGGGGAAGGGGTCCGGGAAGTGCAGCGGCGGCTCGGGTGGCCCCTTGTCGCGGCCCGGGGGCAGCTCCTCCGCCTCCAGGCCCTCGGCGCCCCGCCGGCAGCCGGCGTCGGGGGTGGCGCGCGGCGGGGGCAGTTCCTGGGGCGGGTAAAAGCCGTCGGGGGGCTCGGAGAAGCTGGGCAGGGCGGTGGTGAGCGCCACCATGGAGGGCACGGCCTGGCCCAGGCTGGCGCAGAAGGTGTTGGTGAGGCGGCCGGCGAAGGAGGCGAGCGGGGCCAGCGGCGGCAGCCCCGACTGCAGCGGGGCGTGGGACAGCGCCTGCGGCAGCACCAGCGGCCGGTACGGCATGAACATGGGGTACCCGGTGTAGAGCAGGTGCCCGGAGCGCGGCGGCGGCGTCCCGATGAGCGAATCGATGGAGAAGGCGGTCCCCTGGCCGCCGGGTCTCTGCATGGCGAGCGGGCGCCGCCGGCTCAGCCGGCACTAACTTTCTGGCGAGCTCGGGCCGTCGCCAACTCGCCGCGATCCCGCTGCCGCCGCCGCCCTCGGGCCCCGCCGCCGCCGCGGCCCCGGCCCGCGCCCGCCGCCTCCTGTGGGCTCCGGCGCCCAGCGAGAGCTGCCGCCCGCCCGCCCGCTCGCTGTCTCGGCGCGGCGGAGTGAGGCGCGCTCGGAGCCGCCCGCCCGCCCTGCCGCGGGGGCCGGGCCGGGCCGGCGAGGGAGGGGGAGGAGGAGGAGGAGGCGGGCGGGGGTGTCGCCCTCTGCTCTCATCCATCTTCCGCACATCACGGTCGAGTTCCTCTTTCAGCGCCCGCTCCGCCGGGGCAAAGCGCCCCGCTCCCCCGGCGCGGCCGGCCCCTGGGAAGGCGCCTCCCCCTCCCGCCTCATCAGCTGTTATTAATGGTGATTGATGATTAGCAATTACGGGGCCACTACAAGGGTGCTTTTGTGGGGACGGGACGGGGCCGTGCCGAGTGGCACGGCCTTTCCCGGAACCACGGACGGGGCGAGCCGGCCCCGCAATCGGCTTATCTCGGCCCAGGCCGGAGCTCCCGGCGTCATGAGCCCGAGGGCAGCGGTCCGGGGGCGGCGGCGGCGACGGGCGGGCTCCAGTGCCCCGACTGACCGGCCCTGGCCGGGCACCGGCCCCGTCGCGCTGGGGCAGTGCCGTGCCGTGCCCGCAGACCGCCCGCCGCTGAACAGGATGCGGCGGGGGCCGCCCCGGGCAGGGCCGGGACTGCCCCTTTCCCTGCCCAGGAGCCTCCGTGGGCTCGGAGCGGGGTCTCCGTGAGACCGGCGGGCTCGGGCGCCGCGGGGCCGGGGGATACCGCAGGACCGCCCGCAGGCGCGCTCGGGTCATGGTGGGAACGGAGGGGGTTGAAATCCGAGAGAGGTTCTCCCGTCCCCCCTTGCTGCTCCCCAGAGGCCCCGGCGCCGCGCACCGCGGGGTGGTCCCGGTGCTCGGCACGGAGGCAGGAGCGGGCATGCGGTGCGGAGCCCCGGCGGCGCGGGGCCGGGGGCAGATATCCCGGCCCCGGCGCTCCCTTGGCATCCGCTGAGCAGCACAGAGCCCGGGGCTCAAAGTCCCCGCACTCCGAGTGCCACACGCGTCCCCTGGGTTGCGGCCGGTGGCCCTGGTGCGCATCGCTCCGTCTGCACAGCAAGCGAGATCCGCGTGAGCCGAAAGCTCCTGAGCTGCGGCGAGAGCTCCGCGGCTCCGCTGCTCTCTGTGCGTTCGGGGAACATCGCCTGCCCCTTGTGGGGAGTCTCCACGCTAAAACAGAGGACTTCTCCCCCCAGCTCAAAATTTGGGTTGTGCTCCTGTCCACAGGGAGCTGCTCACCGGGCCTGCAATATGCTGAGCATCAGGCAAACTAAAGCCCTGCTTTAGAAGAGCGTCGGGATTGCCACATAAAGCACTTGGAAGCTGAGAAATGCCACAGCTGAAGTCGTGTCTGTGCTCGCTCTGACTGTATTTTCAGTGGCACAGTGACACGCCAGACCTCCAGCTCTCACCTAGGGGTATTCCTCTTTTCAGGCCCCCTGTGTTTTCCTGCCTGCGCTCCCCCTTTGACCGGGGATGCAGTACCTCTGGCTGCTTAGCTACCCAGGCTCCCTGGTGCATTGATATCTGTGTGAACACATGGATTTCTAAACCACCACCTTCTGCTCTGTCCCTGAAGAGGTCTGGAACACCACTTTGCTGCAGCCTTGAAGCATGTGTTTTGTGTGGGACATGACAACCCAGCCACTGAGCTGGACACTTGGATCCTTTGTGGAGCATGTAAGTTAGGCAAAGTGGGTCCACCAGGTACTCAGCCTTCCTCCACTAAACAGGCACAATCTGACTCCCCAGGGCCCAACTATGACATCACAAAGCCTCCTTTTTCTTTCATGTCTTTTGTGCCTTTCTCTGTGGCATATCCTTGCAGTTCCAAGGAAATATCCCTCTGCAGCGAGAACTGCCCTGCCTCCAGCCAGGGAAACAGATGTGGAAAAGTCAATGGTAAAATAGTCATCCAAACTCAAATACCAAATCCTAAAACTGAGGCCCACTGAATCCCTGTCACCACTGATGCAGACACCTCCCACGCTTGGATCACTGAGAGAGATAGAGATAGAGATGCCTGTGTTTGCAGGTCATCAACCAGTCGGTCCCTAGTCCAGGATGAGGGCCCAGATTCCAGGCTGGGAAGGAGGCTGGGAGAGACGAGCATTTGGATGGATCCCACCACAGGGATCAGTTGTGACACAAGGGACATGGTTCAGGTCTGCAGGTCAGCATCCGTATTCTGTCTGTCCTTGGCCCAGCTCTCCTGGCCTGTCTGTGGGAAAGGGACCTTTGGTTTGGAGTCATCTTCATACACACAGTTTTGGTCCATTCCCTGCTATCACTACACCATGGAGAAAGGGAAAGAATAGCCACGTGTTACTGGATCTCATGACTGCACCTAAAGAGGCCCAAATCCAGGCTGTGCAAGCAGCTTCCTGACTCCCGAGCAATGGAAATTTGATCACTTGTTCAGTGAACCTTTCCTACGTAACCTTCAACCCACACCTCACACCCTCACATAGGTTAGCAAGATATTTGAGAGGAACAGGAAACTGCTCTACTCTGTGACCTTGCTGGGAAACTGAATGAGGTGGGGTGACATGCATCTCCCACGAGGAAGTATGGTGGCCTGTGCCCACAGCAGTAGGTCCTGTCTGAAGCCCAGAGCACAAGCTCCATACTGACCTCTACACATCAATAGCTGGTACCCAGTAAGTCCCTACTTACGTCTCCAGGACTGAGCTTGTGCTTACCTCATCATATACTTGCATTAGCTGCAGCCCCTGTCTCCCTTCAAACATTGAATCTCTGTTCCATGCTGGGAGCACCAAGGAAAGACTGCTTCCAGAGGGGTGGGAAGTCAGGCCACAAGGGCTTGAAGTCCACAGGGTGAAGTCCACAGGACTTGAGGAAGGTGAGCAGAGCAACTCTGATGACAGGCAGATGCATCATTTGAGTAAGCCCTCATCCCAGAGGGCTGAAGCCCTGTGAGGGCTGAATGTACTCAGGGTCTGACAACTTACTCCATTCTGGTTTACTTTGTCTCATCAGACTTCATAGTAAAGAAGAGTAGAAACTCATGCCAAATCATGAAGCCAAGATTCAGATAAGGAAAATTTGAAGGACTGCAGAAAAAAATTAAAAAGTTGCAAAATAAAGCAAAAAAAAGTGCTGCTGTATTCCAGTGCGTACAAGGAATGCGACAGGGCTCTCACACCCACTGTCCTCACAGGGTGAGCCAACAGAGAGTGAGGGTCCAGGTTGCACATGACAGCTCTATTGCTTGGACCTCCAAAGGCTTTCCCAGTTTCTATAACTTCTGTCTAATCTTCCATAGCTTCTTGCTGTCTATGAAATGCAGTTTCCATGGCTTCCACTTGAGGCTCAGACCTCCACTGCTCAGTTTTCTCCCTGAACATCTCTCCCTCTCTGCATACCTTCCTTGCGGGAAGTCCCCCACTTCTGGTTTATCAGGCTCCATTCCTCCCTTGCAAAGAGCCAGTGCAGTGCGTTCCCTTAATGTGCCTAAATATACACCGTCCAACATGCCAGGTACAGCAGAAATATTAATTGTGTGGGCAATTTGTAAAGCCCTGATTTCATTGCACTCTCAGCTGTTGACAGAGACCTCTCAGGACCTCAGTGGGTACATTATCAGACATTAAGCTAAGAAAGAGTCTCACAGGCACACCTACTCTCTCCTGTTTTGGGGTTGCTGGGTCATGGCTTGTGTTTTTCAGCCTCAGCTTAGTTCTGAGTCTCACCAGGCTGGGACCCAAATTCAAGTCCAGTCTCTGTCAGCAGCACCTTCAGCAATCACAGACCAGCCTGGCCCATCTCATCCTCCATCACGCCGCTGCCTGAGCTGCCCCTCTGTCCTAAGTCTGCCTTTGCTTTCAATTCCTCTTCTCTGGTTTCTGCATTAAAACTGCTGAAGCTTTTTCCTCCTCCTCCTCCTCTTTGCCATTCCTTGCTGCAGACACATGATCATGGGTGAGTCCATTTGCCAGTTTTTCTGGAGTCAGTAGGCAAGACTGGAAAGTGTCCTGCTCAACACTTGACACTTGGGTCACAGTGTCTGTGCTGAAGACCATGCATGACCTGTCTGGCCAGCACAGTGGATCTGCCCTAACTGCAATCTTCTCAGCATAGGCAGCAGCTTCTTAGGAGAAAGCCATCAGCCTCTAAAAATGTCCTTGCTTGGAACACACAAAGGGGGATCCTCAGAGGCTGGTAATTTGGGAAAAGTTGATCCTAGACTACTGGGCAGAAAAAGAACCATCTGGGCCAGCTCTCCTCTCTGAGGTGAGGAGTTTAGAGTGTATTCCTGGTGCACCGGCTGTTGGCCAGGTAGAGGCCAATTAATTTTTGCTGTATCTGTAATGGGAAAAGTTCTGAGACAGACACAGAGCATGGCAACTGCAACTGCTACAGTTAAAGTGTAATGACTGACTGGCAAATGAAAGCAGGTCTTTCTAATGGAAACTGCTATGCAGCCTTAACTTTATGCCTCTACCTGCTCCACTTACTTACAATCTCTGCACGGAATCTAGCACAACAGGACTAAATCTAGTCACAGCCTCTAGGCATTCCTGTAGTATAGCTGCTAAACATATTAAAAGCAAGGGTAACGTTGCAAAATTATTTACTCAAGTATGGGAAATCTAGAGGTTAGTCTGGCTATGGCCATGATGCTGTTTGACTGAAGCTGGGCTCCTGCCAGGCACAGACTCTGCTATTGGATGTGCCAATGACACGGTCCATCAGACTCTGCAGCCACACACAGCCTGGGGTGGGCAAGAACTTATGTGCAAGAAGCACCCAGGAGGTCCCAGCTGGTCTCTGCAAACAAGGTCCCACAGGCTTTCCTTGACTGCAGAGCTGCCCTATGTGCTTCTGTCTTCAGCTCCCGACAGCAAAACCTGTCCTAGTCATCTGCAGTGGCTATGAAAATCTGCACTCACACCTGGGGAATGTATTTCAGAAGCAGACCTGGCAGAGCCATAGCTGGAGCAGTAAGAACCCAAGATCTTCATTAGCAGTAGCAAGAGCAGTCCCAGGTGGATGGGTTTGCTGTTGACAAGATCTCAGAGGAGAAATTTTTGTTTC